GGTTTGGGGTTTAGGGTTTGGGCTCCATGGATTTGCCGGCACCCGAAGCAATGGCAGACTGCGGTGGACTGTAGGCCTTTCTTGTAGCAGTGACAGTAGCAGCTGTGCACAGGAAGGAAAAGGGTACTAGTACCCTCTAAATCTCAAAAAATGTGTGAGGTTCAAGGCAAGGCAGCGACTCACACCCCAATGGTAGAGAGTATAGACCTCCCACAAGAGCGAAATTCACAATGGCTTCGCGTTTCGTCGCTGTGAGTTCGGGGTGTCGGGTCGCCATTTGGTTGGGGTTTCCGCCCCTTAACCCAGCATGCATGATTCGGGTTTAAGGTTTCAAGATGGCTGTCTGAACGATGGTTAAGAATATACATGCCTATCCTCCCTGAGTCATAATGGTATGACGCAGAGAGCCCTATTCTAGTTCTTCAGGCTTGAGGGCACCTGTATTATGTAGGTATGTGTGGGGTCTTTTCGTGTGATCCTTTATTGAGCAGGCAGAGTCTAGATCAAGAGCCGTGATTTTCTGACAAAAGCCCATACTCATCCAGAGATGCTAGACGTCAACAAACGTAAACGGAGCACTATGCAGCATCAATGATCTGCAACAGAAAGGCTGCGCTGGAGTGTCAGTGCCAGAGCTGTCAGCCAGTCCTGTATGATAATTAGAGAATTAACCCTAAATCCTAAACCCTACACCCAAAAACCCTGAACCCCAAAACCCCTGACTTACGTTTGCAAGTGCTCCCGTCAGCGAAGCCCCCCTAAACCAGAAACCCTAAACCAGAAACCCTAAACCCTAAACCCTAAACCTCTAAACCCTAAACCCTAAACCCGAACCAGGAGTTTTCCTCTGCAGGTTTCGGTTCAGCAGATTTACTTGTCTCAGGGTTTAGGGTTTAGGGTATGGGACTTAGGGTTTAGGGGTTTAGAGATTTAGGGGTTTAGGGTTTAGGATTTAGGGTTTAGGGTTTAGGGACCACGAGTTTCCCTCTGCAGGCTTTCGGCTCAGCAGGGATTACTTGTCTCAGGAAGTTTGGGTTCGCCGAAGTCGGGATGGCCACCAGCGCCCCACTTTTGGGAGAGAAGACGCTCGGCCTCGGCTTGGTCATCTCCCAAAAGTGCAGTTTGCCTATCTGTTGCCTAAACCCTAAACCCCTAAATTGGGCTACATCTATATGGGTTTAGGGGTTCAGGGCTTTGGGTGTTTATGGGTTAAGGGTGAAGTGCAGTTTGCC